GGGCTGGAGAGATGACTCAGTGGTTAAGAACACTGACTGCTCTTGCAGAGGACCTGGGTTTGATTCCCAGCACCCACATGTTGGCTAACATCTTTCCATAACTCCAGTTTCAGGGGATCAGATGCCCTCTCCTGATCTGCATGAGCATTGCACAACACGGGTGCGCTTACAAGCACGCAATATGCTCATATACATAAAATAAAAATGATAGTAATTAAAAAAGCTACATGGAGGGAACAATTCATTTATAAAGGAAAACACATCAGAATAATATCAGATTTCTCATAGCAATTCAAAAAGTCATGAAAGCATAGAATAATATCTTTCAAACTCCAACAGTAAGCAACTACCAACCATGTTTTAACTATAAATAACTGTAAAGCTATCTTCTTAAATTGATAAATAAGGGCATTTAAAGACAGGCACATTCATGCAGTTCATGACCACAAAGACAGCACCAAAGAAGACATTTAAAGGAATACTACATATACATGAGGAAGAGAGAGAGTCTCAATTATGAGAAAACAAGAAATAATAAATTTAACAAGATGAATAGCTGAACAAGGAGAACTAGAAAGGAATCCATCATGTCCATCACAGTAAACCAGCAAGCCCCTAATACTAATAAGGAAGAAAGAAAAGAACAAGCAACCCAGCCAAACAGAAAAGCAGCCAACCATTTACAGGGATTACTAAATATCTCTTGATAATATATTTAAATATAAATGGCCTCAACTTACCAGTGAAGACACATGAACTAACTGAATTTAAATACAAGGTGTGATGATTATCTGTTGTTTCTAAGAAGTATATCTTGCTAGTAAAGACACAGAAAGACTGAAAGTGAAAGTTATCAAGAAAATGGAGTAGATTTAAAACCAAAATTATAATAAAGAGGGTCACTACATATTAATAAAGGCAACAATTCATCAAGAAGATGTAACAGACATTCCTGTAGGTGGGCCAGCATTGCAGTGTCCTAGAAGTTCCACCACATGTGCCATTCTCACAACATGGTCACATACTGATGACAAGCTGGACTCAGCTACATCTGATTCTCCCAGCTCTCTGAAAAAGGACTGAGGCATGCTCTGAAGACAGAATTCAAAACAACTGCCAAGAAGACTTCCAGCAGCAGCAGCATACAAATTATGAAAGTGAAAAAGGAATAATCTACCCTGAATGATGCTTGAAGTGCTACATCTTCAAGATGAAGATGTGTGGGAATGGCAGACTGAAATCAGCCTTACTTCAAGGAAAAAAAATATGTTTTTTTCATTAATTGATGATGCCAATAAATTCACACTTGATTCACTTTCAAGGAAAGAAAATACAATATAATATATATGCATTAAATGTGGAGATTCTTAATTTGTAAAACAAACAGTAATGGGCATAAAAGGTCAGATACATCTTGACAGAAATATGACATGACTTCAATACCCCACGTTCTTCCCTAGATAGGCCATCCAAACTAAGAATCAACAAACATCAGGATCAAACTATATTATAAATCAGACTGACATAACAGGTATACGTAGAATATTCCATGCAGCAAATACAAAATACACAGTACTCTCAACAACCCATGAAATGTTCTCTGAAATAGAGCACATTCTAGAACACAAAGCAAGTCTTAACAAATACAAAAGAAATAAGTTCCTGTATCTTATCAGGTCACCGTGGAATAAAACGAGAAATCAATGACAAGAGCAACTCCAGAACCTAGAACTATTTGAAGACTGAATAACACTCTCTTGAATGATCACTGAGAAAAATCAGGGAGCTAATGTTAAAATTCTTAGAATGAAATGAAAATGAAACTACAATTTAACAAATCCTTTTGGATACAGGTAAGGGTGTTCTAAAGGGAAAGTTTATAGCTACAAATGGTTACATTAAAAATCTGATTAAAATTTGATTAAAAATCAGAAAGAGCTCAAGTAAATAACCTTAATGGTGTACCTTAAAGTCTTAGAAAAACAAAAATAAGTGAAATCCAAAAGCCCTAGGCATAAAAAATAATTTACAAGGAAAAAATGAATGAAATGGAGACTAAAAGAGCAATATATAATCAATAAAACAAAAACTGGTAGATTTCAATGGTAATGTTTTTCACATCTACTAATTATTGTTTTTTAAATTTTTATGCTTCTTCCTCAAATATAATTCATTTTTTAAATTTGTTGAATTTTTTGTGTGTATATCATACAGAACACTCCACACAATCTTATTCATCTATATACCCACTTCCCAAATGGCACCTTCCCATAGCCTTCCCCCTCCCACACACTGGATCCCATGTACTCTGTCATCCCTGTTACTGTCCACTGTGTTGTCAGCGCCCCCAGCCATTTTCTAGTGCTAGTCCATCTGCTGAATCTAGTCATCCTATCTAGAGATCCTTGTTTTAGGAAGATCAGCTGCTCCTCATTAAGCAGCAATCAGTTGTCAATATTCCTTCAGATAAGATTGGGGTTTGCTGTTCATTTTCCCAGTTCTATGCTGGGTTACTGTCTGGGAGTCTCTTGGGCCACCCTGGCCAACAACTCAAAGGATGGTATCTCCTGTCTGTCATTGTTTCTTGTTATGTAGCCTTTATCTATACACATGGACTCTTAAAGAAAT